TATTTATGATTTTAACTTTATACACAAGTGCCAAAATACTATCATTACTAAGCTCTTATCTTGCTGGGGTTCAAGCTATCCTAAAATGTGCCTTAACCTTCCCTGTAGTTTCCCCAGGGACCACTGCCCACAAGGGCCCATGACAGCAGCAGAAACAATGTGTATGGAATGTATCAAATCAGCACAGAACACTAACATGCTTTCAATCACTTTTTTAGATAGAGCAGAACTAATTTTTCCATGGGGCTCTAGGTGATCATGGATTCTATACCCAACAAAACATACTTATTATTAGAGCTGATTCACTTCCTAAATACTATATGTGCCCACAAAATGCAGAGTGCAGCCTTCTCAATTTATTGTCTAGCCCATCACAGCTCTCTCACTGGAAAGAGGCTGGCACTGCCCCCGATTGTTAAAAAAAATAATTAAAATTCAGTGCACACAATCATTGTGAACTTGTTTTAATTTGTGTACATAATATCCACTAACATAATAAATAACATTTTTATTTGACAGAGAATGAAACAACCTAGAAACAGTTCAGGATCAAGCTCATATTAGAAAGATGAAATGAGGATATCAGAATCAGTCACAAAATTGATAAACTTAAGTGGGTGTGACAAGTGATTCACTAAAACTTACTTCCATACAGGAATAAAATAATCTCTAAAACCTTCAGATATTTTTATAAGAGAACATGTTTTATAAGAAATTCTAGCTAATTCTGTTAGATAGTAAAGTACTGATGTTTTCATTCCTTGATAAATCCTTCAATAAATGTTTTAAACCTGAATTTGAAAGCATTCACCCAATTATAAAACATAATTCACTGCTACTTTTCAGTGGAAAGAACCATTTTTAGTTTCTAAGAGAAACTCTATTGAATGAAATTACTGATCATAAATACTCTACTACAAGGTTTAAAATGTTTTATAACTGGTTAGAGTTATTTTGTTGTTGTTATTGTTCACAACAATAATCTTTAACATTTTTAGGACATTATTTTTTAACTTGTTCAAAGTAAACCCCTTCCCTTCAGGTTTTTTTTATCTGTTTTTTATGATGGTATGACTTTACTGCAGTCTTGCTAGTCACATCCTTTGCTTGTTGATTGTTTTCATTCTTGGTGAAGGCTGCAAGATGGTATTACTACCTCAACTGTACAGGTCTCAGGAATGAAGTAGTGTCTAATGGAACATAAACTGTAGTAAGAGTCTACTGTAATTTTATCATAGGAATTAACATTTATGATAACTCTGTAAATGCATTTAAATATTTGTTTCTCTTGTGTACATCAATGTAATACTAGCAATTATAGTTAAGTAAACAATTAAATTATTTTGTCACAATTAATTTTTATAATTTACACATGTAGTATAATGTCTAAAGAAATGACAAACACTCCTTTTTTTCTTCCTTAATGTTCCTGGGGAAAGTTATTCTCTGCAAGATTAATTGGGAATTGTCTGGAGGTGGATTAGGAACATTCAACTCTGTAAGAATGGCATAGTGTATCAATGTGTGTTTTTGGTAGTTTTACTCAAAGACATATAATTTTCAAAGCATTCAGTAAACATTCTATAGCCTTTAGTAGCTACTGTTTAAATGCTGAAAGTTAGTGATGCATAAAATTTGTGATTCAAATCATGTTAACTGCAATTGTTTCTTTTTTTTTCACATTCCTCTTAATTTGTCTATTGTGGATTAGAATCAGAAGTGAATAAAAATAACATTTCTGATATATCTCTTGTTGTTTGTATAAGGAGCATTTCAAAGATTTTTTTTTGTTTCTCATTGTCTAGCTCAAACCAACAAGTTCTGGTACTGAAGAGGGACCACTCATGCAGTGACTTGTGGGAGAGACAAGCAGTTCTTAAATGGTATTTTACCCGTATTTAATTTTGAATTCACAATAGACGAATTAAGAAGAATGTAAAAAACATATGCAGTTAACAAGACTTTTATCACCAATTTTTCAAATTTATAGCCTTATTCAATTGTTTAGTAGTTTTCCTCAAATTTTCTTAAAGAGAATTATGAACTCACTTTTAATATCTGAAAAATGATTTTAAAATGGGCCTTAATACTGCTTCTTAACAATTTCACATCAAAGTGATTACTCTAGAAAGATCTAGAAAACATGAATCTTGTCTAATCTCATACTTTTATTTTATAAATTATTATAATTATATAAAGTACAAGTAGTTTGCATAGAGACACTTTATAAAAGTATATGTAATTTGATCTTTATTATCTTAATAAACAAGCATTAAAAATAGATCCAGTCAACTACGAGAAATAATAATACAAGTCATAACATTCATTACTTTCACCAGGTAACGCTAATTGAGTGGATATCGTTCAATTACGGATAGGCCTAACAATTATACATAGCCATAGATAAGTTTCAATGGCACTATTGATCACTGTTAATTAAAATTTTGTCTAAATTGAATAATGAACCTTTATATTAAGCCAAGGAAACAGTTACATGTTTGGGCCTACAGGCTACAGTAGAATTTACAAAAACATCATGACAGTAGGATGATATTGATAACCCTGACTTTACGTTTCAGTTTTACATATTAATATAACTTCAATTATAAGCAAATTGACATGTATTACACTTATATTTTTTACAACTTACAAATTACAGATACTATAACTAAGTATATAAACGAATGGGAAGTTAATCTGTTCCACAGTTTTATATTTATACTGCTTACAACTTAAACGTTACGTAACTAGATCTTACAAAAAACTAAACAGACATAACTTGTCATTTTCCATAAATATTAATATTTAAAGTAATTATAAGTTGCACTTCAAGTCAATATGAGTTGTTTACATACTCACACTTATCAACCACAAGGTCCAGCCGATATAACATACTGATACTTACCCATGCTGATAAAAAAGGTATACGCACATTACTTGGAAAATAACAAATACAGTGCGAATCCCATTTTCATGATACAGTGTTTCTTGTACAGATAAAGATGACTTAGCGTAGACGCACTAACATCGACATCTGATGTCATATTTGTTTTGTCTAAACATAAGACTGATATCATGAGCTCAGCTGTAGATGTTCATTTCTATCTACAGACAAAATGACCCACAACAGGTCCATTAACACTAATGTTACTGTCATGTTTATTGCAAGTGTAACTGGTCTCTGGTTACAAGTGGTGCCCCGGTGAAACAGTGGTATGTTTGTGAACTTACAACGCTAAAATCCAGGGTTTGATTCCTCGCGGTGGACACAGTAGATAGTACAGTGTGACTTTGCTCCTTAAAAACAAAACAAACAAACAAAAGTTATAAGTGATTTTGTGATTCTGATAGTGTCAGTGATAAATAAACTGTGTGCAATTAAATCGCTCTTCATACTGTTACGACAGCGGAAGTCGCGCGAGGCTGGGAGCATGCGCTGGAATTCTAGAAAGATCGAGGAACCAGTCGAACGTCCTAGCGTTTGCTAGACGCGCGCTCTTATTGTATATAAGCGCGGCAAATAAAGCGAGAGAATTAATCGGAACTGGAATAGCAGATAGAGGGAGATTGAAGCTATAGACGCCATTAATCGAGTCAAGCGGGCGGTAGGCACATTAATTAAAGTGCGTGAATCGTTGTGAATTATAGCGTGTGTTTAAGTTAAAGTGACTGTGGAAATTAAGTGTATTGCAAAGTTGAATTGAGAAAGAATAAACTAGTTTTATTTAAAAAAGGACTTGTATCGCTGAAGATCTTTGGAAAGAATTTCTACGGAAAATTAACAAACGACCAGAGACGTAACAAATTGGTGTCAGAGAGTGGGACGAAAAAAAAGAGAAGATGGAAACGAGAAGCGGCAAATCAAACTACAGCTTAGCAGATTTGATGGCAGCAATACAAGAACAGCAAAAGAAACATTAAGAACGAGAAAATAAACAAGAAGAGAGATTACAGCAGTGGTTGGAGGAGAAAGAAAAGAAACAAGAAGAGAGATTACAGCAGTTGTTGGAGGAAAAGGAAAAGAAACAAGAAGAACGAGAAAATGAACAAGAAGAGAGACTACAGCAGTGGCAAGAAAACCTGGAACAGTGGCAGCTCGAGCAGCAAAATAAACAAGAGAGACTACAGCAGTGGTTGGAGGAAAAAGAAAAGAAACAAGTAGAACAAGAAAAGAAACAAGAAGAGAGACTACAGCAGTGGTTGGAGAAGAAGGAAAATAAACAAGACGAGAGGCTACAGCACTGGTTGGAGGAGAAAGAAAATGAATACAAAGAGAGACTACAGCAGTGGATGGAGCAGGAAGAAAATAAACAAGAAGAAAGTCTACAACAATTGAGAGTAAGCCAGAGTACACAAATGGAAAACATTAGTAAATTTCAAAGCGAATTAGATGCATTAAAGGATGATTAATTGCCTTTTACACAAGGAGGATACATTAACCATCGACTTATTAGAAGTCACATCCCAGATATGAATGTCAGCAATATGAGTGATCTAGTACGAAGGAAGCCACAGGAATTCGATGGGAAGGCACCGTGGGAAGCATATAGAGCACAATTTGAGCTCCTGGCATAGATGAATGGATGGACAGAGGAGCAGAAAGCAATATATCTGGCAACAAGCCTGAAGGGACAACCACTGGAAATACTTGGACAGTTGTCGGCAGATGACAGGCACAACTATAGAGCACTGTTAGCAGCTGTAGAACTCAGGTATGGAACCCAAAATCAGTCTGAAGTCTACAAGGCTAGGTTTAGAACAAGAGTCCATGCTAAAGGGTAGAGCCTGCAAGAGCTGGCACAAGACTTGGATAGTATGGCACACAAGGCCTACCCAACTGCACCATCCGATGTCCTCAAGCTGTTGCTGAGGGATCAGTTTGTAGATGCCTTGGACAGTTCACAACTAAAGATACAAGTGAAGCAAGCACACCCCTCGGTTATGCAGGATACAATGACCAGAGCTCTTGAACTTGAATCCTATGTTAAGTCCAGCACAGAGGTACCAAGGTTGGTACAGTCATCAGGATTCAAGGCCAGAAAAGGACAGCTTTCAGAGAAGTTTGAGGGACTTTGCTGGCACTGTAACAAACCTGGGCACAAGAAAGCTCAATGTCGGAAACTTCAACACAGGGAAGATGCCACGGCAGGAAAGGCTGCTACCCAGCAATGTTGTTGGAACTGTGGAGAGCAAGGACATATGAGGAGCCAGTGTCAGAAGAATACTACCAATAGATCAGTCTCGGAGAAACCAGTAGTGGTTGGTGCTGAGGGACGCCCACCAGCCCCCATCGAGAAAGTCCCAACAGCTAGATGTAAAATGCCAAGCACACATAGTGTCTATATGACAGGAAAGCTGGATAGCCAAAAGTGCAACTTTGTCATAGATTCTGCATCTCATCAAACCCTTGTGAGTATCAAGGTGCTGGATCACAAAGGAGTAATCACTTTCCCATCTCTGGAGAAGAATACCATCTTGAAGCTTCAACTGGTCCCATTGTGCCCAATAGTTCTTTGTCACAGGGTTTAAGCTAGACACCTTCTCCCAAGCAGGGTGCAAAACACCTGCTTTTAAAAATCAATTATTGGTTTCAAATCTTGATCTTTCTCCTGCTCTGCTTTAATATCTACACCTGATTTCGTTTCACTGTCATCATCTCCTTTAGTCACTTTGATTTCAGCTTGATGACACCTGGTTAGTTCAACCTCTCTTTTAACACTTACTGGAATTTGGCCTTTGTTGTTCCCAAACGTCATTTTATCAAAATTAACTACACACTTCCTCTGTAGTAAGTATTCTAACCCTAGTATGCATGGGTCTTCAATGTCAGCCAAGTATACTTTGTGTCTGTCCTTTATGCCCATGAGCTCAATACTTATCCACACTGGTCCCCACAACCTTGAATAATGTCCTGTCACACCATAAAGCTTCTGTATGGCTTCTGGTTAATGGAGGAAAAATTTTATATTACTGTTACGTCTCTGGTCGTTTGTTAATTTCCAGTATAATTTCTTTCGGATGAAACTTCAGCGATACAAGTCCTTTCTTAAATAAAACCAGTTTATTCTTTCTCAATTCAACTTTGCAATACACTTAATTTCCACAGTCACTTTAACTTAAACTCACGCTATAATTCACAACGATTCACGTACTTTCCTTACGGTATCCGTGTCTATATCTTCAATCTCTCTATCTGCAACTATATTCTTGCCTTCACTTTATTTGCCGGCTTATATACTATAAAAGGGTACATCTCGTCTCTTCGTGAATCTTCTAGATACTCATCACGTGTTACTAGCGTCACATGACTTCCGCTGTCGTAACACTGCCACTTAAATTAAATCAATAGATAATTAACAATAACTTATTTAAATGTACAGAATTTACAAACACTACAAACACAAAATTAAAATTCAACAAAGTCTCTTAATTTTATGGGACGTATCTTCTTCCGTACTGGTCTCTATCTCGTTGGCTTCTACTTCACGTGAGGTTCATCTGCTCCATCTGGAATTGTCCCATTATCGGTAATAGTCACATCAGTGGTAGTAACTTCATTAAGGGCTTCACTGTTTCCCTTCTCAAAACCAGGTAGAATTTTTGCTTCGACAGTGGCTTTTTCAGGTGACACGTCTTCGCAGCGTCGTCTGTTTCGTTGTTCACTTCGTTCCAACTGAAATATTTTGGACCGTGATAACCACCTTTGGCTTTCCCCCGCCAACCACATTTTATTCGGAAAGTCACGTCTGAGAGACGATCCACTACCTTCATATGGGCCTTCCCATGGAGAAGACAACTTAGGAGACTTCCCTTTGGTCTTCCTGGGATTATACAACCACACCTTGTCTCCTGATCTCTTATCATAACATAACTTCATCGAATCAGCAGATGTTTTCAAGTTTGAATGCACTTGATGGTGAATATTATCCATCCTTTCCGATAACACTTTCACGAATTCTGACACATTTTCAGGCAACTTTTCATAAGGTGGGCGTCCTATTAACAAATCCACTGGCAACCGAAGTTCCCGACCAAACATCAACTTTGCTGGAGTGTATCCAGTGGTTTCATGCTCTGCTGTCCTATAGTCCATCAACAGTGGAGGGAGTAAGACATCCCAGTCATCTTGGCGGCTATTACAAAACTTTGCCAATTCCTGTCCAAGTGTCCAGTTGTACTTTTCTACCATCTCATCAGACTGTGGGTGAAGTGGCGTTGTCCTGGTCTTTCGGATGCCAAACAACTTGCAGCATTCATGGAACACAGCTGATTCAAAGTTACGGCCTTGATCCGAATGCAGTTCGTATGGCATACAAAATCTGAAGAAGAAATTGCTAATAGCCAAAGCTACAGTTGTAGCTTCCTGATTTGGTATTGCATATGCCTCTGGCCACTTGGTGAAATAATCCATCACCACACAAATGTACCTGTTTCCAGCACGAGTTTTAGGCAAAGGGCCAGCAATATCAATGGCTACTCTTTCCATTGGTGCACCAACTTGATATAACTTCATTGGAGCACGTCTTTTATGCTTGGGTTCCCTTTTAGAACAACATGTACTGCACGACCTGCACTATTCTTCCACATCTTGCCTCATATCTGTCGTAGATGACTCAATGTCTTCTTAACTCCGAGATTTTTTACTGTTAAACTATCATGGGATTGACGCAGCACAACTTCCCGTAACTTTCTCGGTATAACCGTTTGCCAGGTCTATACGACACAGATCAGTCTCTGTAAATAAATGAACATTAAAATTATTTACCAAAATTTTCGTTTAGAATTTAATTTTAACGCTCATGTACGAAAATGTAATTGTTTCATTTTACTGTTAGGTAGTTTTTAAAAGTACATTATTGTTACGTCTCCGCTTGTTAATTAACTTTCCGTAGCTTCGTTCCGACAAAACTTTAGCGACACAAGTTCTTTACTTAATAAAACTAGTTTATTCTTTCCAAATATAACTTTAACGATACACTCAACTTCAACAATCGAGCTAAACAAACGCTGTAACGTCTCTCGTGCTCTCTGACTGCAGTTCAATTACTCAATGTCTACCCAGACATTACATTCCCCTCTTTTATATACCAGCCTACCCTATATCTAGTAAGAACTAGAACATTCGCCAAAGTACATGATAGTTCTAGAAACGTTGCGTCACAGTAGTCATGTGACTCGATGACGCAACAATATTATAGTATAAAGACAAAAAATAAGGACGAGTGAC